CTGCATCATACTCCTTACTTATATCTTCATATTTTCTCGTCTATCTAAGCTTAATTTATAGCTGCAAATTGCATAATCTATATCTATATAATTAATAAAATTGGTGTGTCTGTATGTAATATTAAAAAGAAATTGATATTTCGCGAACATGGAATATTTACGTTACTAATAACGAAAAAACAATTTTAAAAAATATTGGTCTGTCTATGTGTCTGCAATATCACGTTTGTTCCAGGTAATCTTTAAAACTGGATCGATTAAATGGAAAATAGTTAATGTTAGTTTTGAAATAAATTAAAAAATGGTAAAAATATGTTAATGACCGACCTGCAAAAGTGTACCGTGACAGTAATTCCTTTTGATATTTTGATCGCTTATTAAAGTCAACAATTCTTCAACATGTTGAATGTACCTGAAATGTTATATATACAGTATATATTTTGTTACTTTCATGTAACGTAATAAATTAATACATAAACTCAAGTTTCGTACATCCGTGTATCAAATAGGTTCAACTAACTTATGTTTATTAATACTTACTATGTCTTTCTAATATTATAAAAGCTTATGTTTGGATGGATGGATAGATTTGTACCGTCTCCAGAACGGTTCAATGAAATTTGGCATAAATGTAGAACATGTAATAAAAAACAACCCTTTGTCGTGGATCTTCGTTTCGAGGGCACTCCCCTGGTTGCCTCAGCCAGTATCAGTATTCTCGGCGTTGACATATCGAATGACGTTCAGTTTCGCGGTCATTTGGAAGACAAGGCCAAGCTGGCCTCCAAAAAACTGGGTGTGCTCAGCAGAGCGAAGCAGTATTTCCAACCGGGCCACCGCCTTCAGCTGTATAAGGCGCAAGTTCGGCCCCACATGGAATACTGCTCGCATCTCTGGGCGGGAGCACCCCAGTACCAGCTTCTTCCATTTGACCGCATACAACGGAGAGCGATTCGAATCGTCAACGACCGAGCTCTTACTGATCGGCTCGACACTCTGGCGCTGCGGAGGGACGTTAGTTCCCTCTGCATTTTCTACCGCATATACCACGGGGAGTGCTCTGAAGAATTGTTTGGAACGATTCCTGCCGCCGAGTTCCGTCATCGGACGACACGACAGACCGCCAGGTTCCATCCACACCACCTGGATGGCTGGCATTCCACAACGGTGCGATTCTCGCGCAACTTCTTGCCTCGCACAGCCGCGTTGTGGAACGGTCTGTCCTCGGCGGTATTTCCAAACCAATACGACTTAGGGTCCTTCAAGAAGCGAGCCTATCACCACCTCAAAGGCCGGCAACGCATCTGCGGTTCCTCTGGTATTGTTGATGTCCATGGGCGTCGTTGAACACTTCGGTGTTCCCGCTGCTCGTTTGCCCCCTTCTGTTATAAAAAAAAAAAAAAACATATATGGAAGAACACATAGGTTAAGTTTTTTTCCATTCCCTGAGGACGATAATGGTCACGTAAGTAGAGGGCTAGAAAGAAAGGTATATAAAGAATATCTAACATGTGAGGTGAGAGGAGCGGCAGCAGAGCCTGTGCAGCCAGCTGACGCGTCTTGAGCACTCCGCTGCGAGCACACGCCGACACCACCCACACGAACCTCGACACCTGCACACACCACGCTCACTCACTGCACTCTCACCGTACACCTCATCTCTCTTTCCTTCACCTTGAGGTTGGACACGGTGCCCTCCAGCGCCGAGGGGTACAGCCTGGCCAGCAGCAGCAGGATCGGGAATAGAGATGGCCTCAGCAGGTCGCGACCCTCGCTCTCGTTTGCCTCTGTCAGTTTCTCCTGCATACGTTGAATATCTATATTTAGTTAATCAACAGAAATATTTAGAAATACGATTAATTCAAATAAAAATAAATGACCAGCATGAAGTCGTATAGCTGTGGATATCGCAGGAAGAACATGCGACCCGTCATGCGGTTACGTGCGTGCACCTCGCCCCCAGCACCACCAGCACCACCAGCACCTCCAGCACCTCCAGCACCTCCAGCACCCCGCGCCACGCCGAACACGCGCACCACCAGCGCGCTCAGCAGCAGGGTGGAGGAGTTGCGCTCCTGTACATGGCAACAACACGCATCTGTGACAAATCATTCTCACAAGTACGACAACAGACACATTCATACATTTTATATTTTACCTCCCAGGTGGGGCCATCGAAACCTTTCAGCGCGAGCAGCAGCGCGTCCCCCACGTACGGCGCGACCGCCTGCTGCAGCGCCGAGCACCGCACCAGCGCGCGCAGCACGTTGCTGCAGTGCGCGCGCATCACCGCACCACCCTCACCACCCTCACCACCCGCACCACCCTCGCACAGCTGCATCAACGTCCTCATGCACTCGTGGAAACACTTCGGCTTCTCGCTCACCTGCAGCTCTGTTGTCACCAGCGCCTGGACAACATATTATATAATATACAAATTAATGTCTATAACATGTAGTGTTGAAAAAAATTACATTTCGAACAAATAATGTATGTGCTTTGCCAAACACCAGTTGTTCCTGGTAATCTCAAAAACAGTTGGACCAATTTAACAAGTAAAGTAGTTGATAAACGCTAACATTTACGGGCTACTTTTTTAATTCTGTAATTTAAAAGTGAAGTAACCTGTATCATGAAGGGCAACCCGGCGGAGCGTCGTGTGGCGCACAGCGAGGTGGAGCCCGCCCCGCTCGCCAGCGTGGACATCAGCTCGCGCATCCACCCGCCCGGCAGCGCGTGCAGCATCCCGCTCCGACATCTCCACAGCCTGCAAGTGCCCGCCACCTCAACACGCCGCTCAGACACTTTTATCACAGCGCCATCAGTAATTGTTACCGTACCGCGCCAGGAGGTGGGTGAAGCCGACGTACGCCTGCTCGAAGGCGCCGCGGTGCTTGGTCTCCGCCAGCAGCTTGGTGAAGTGCTCGCCCATGGCCACCACCTGCTGCTGCGTCAGCGTGCCCTGCTCCCCCTCCTCGCCCGCGATGCTCATCCGCGACGCCATGCAGCCCAGCACCAGCGACACCTCCTTTACCGACCTCCACGCGCACAGCAGCACCATCTGCGCGGTCACCGGCCTCATGTCCTCCAACTCCTCGTTCCTGACAAATAGATCACAGTCTAGAACCACAGACTAAAAACATTGCAGCTATAATAAGATCTTTGTGAGCCTGTAAACGGCTAGAAGAGAGAAGGATATTGATACTTTGTATCGTCGGTGTCGGCGAGTAGAGGTCCAGACATGTCCATGGGCAGATGTCCCTCGGGCGAGGAGTTGTTGACGACGCAGGCCACCGCCGCGTTCACAGCGAAGCACGTCTGCACTATCTCCGCTACCAGGAGCGACCACTGCTGCGACTCGGATATGGCTCTACAGACAACAATACCAATGATCGATTAGACTAAGGTGAGAGAGAGAGAGATACAGAATGGTGCAGAAGTTGTGTGACCGTGTATCGAGGTGGTGCAGTATGTGCAGCATGCAGTGCAGCGCGCCGTACATGTGGGCGTGTCGTGCAGCACGCACCACGCTGCGCGCGCACGCACGCACCCCGCCCTCCACCACCTGCAGCAAGCGACGCACTGCTGCGTACTGCACGCACTCCGCCACATCACTGCACACAATATAACCCACCTGTAGTCCGTCACTCCGCCCGCCTCAAAAATAATTTATTAGTAACCTATATATTTTTCCACACTATATTCTATATGTATGCAAAATTTCATCGATATCCGATATATTCAGTCGTTCTAGAAATACCATACATCCAAACATTCGTATTTATAATATTTTTAAGACTAGCTGTCGCTCACGACTCCGCCCGCTTGGAATAAAAAAATACCTAAATGATTTACCTATCTGTTCTTCCAGACCATGTTTTACAATTGTGACAAATTTCATCAAGATCCGTTGAACCGTTTAGGAGATACCTTCTAACAAACATCCATCCATTCATTCATATTTTTAATATTAGTAAGATAGCTGGTAAATGAAATCAGTAGCGGGTTCAACATTGTGTGACATACGTGTGGTATCCTTGTGTCAGTATGTGCGGGAAGCGCGCCACGAAGAGGCGCAACTTGTATGCAGCAGACACGCAGTCCGGGGGCTTCATGGAGGATGCCTGACACAGAATTGACTCCATGTCCATGCCTGCTGCCATTCTCTGACTCTGACATAAACTTAGGTATAGTACACTGCATTTCAGTTGGCACGTCGACAACGAGACTTCTACTTTACAGGATGTGCCAATTCAAACTGCGAATAGTATAAATCATATCAAATTGAGAATTCAGTTTTTTTTGTACTCAGTACTTGTACTTTTGTAATTTTTGAAACGCAATGAATTATAAAAGTTAATTTGTTCACCTCCAGCACATCCTGCGGGCAGGTCTGTAGAATTTCCAATGCGAACACTTTGTTACACTCGTAGCTATCTTCCAGACATTGTAATAAGTTGTCTATGTATTCCGGCTTCCATGTTCTGCAATAGTAGAAGAAATATACATTTTAACAAAATAAGATAAAGAGATATTGTATATTCAGGGCGAGTGAAAAGATTTAAAAAAAAATATATATTTAGCGCCATCTATTAGAAAATTATAAAAACATACCACATTAATAAAAGATAGTTTTTTTTAATTTATATTTGACAAATAATGAGAGACAGAAAGTTTCGGAAAATATCTTAAAGCACCGATTTACCAGTTGGTTAATTTATTTTACTAAAAAAAAATTCAAGTTCTATCGTAAAATGTTTTTGTCTATGGTAAAAATATGAGGATATATCCATGATACCTGTGATATCCCTCGTATCCAGTGCCCTCAGTCCAGTCCAGCAGCTGCAGGGCGACATAGCGCCGGCTGTAATTGGCGCCACACACCAGACATCTGTAGCAGAACTCTCGCAGATCCTCCAGGAAGGTTAAGTAATAATCACCCTTATTGCTATCAGCATTAGGTGCATTTTGCCTTTTCAGTAACTTGTAACTGTCTTCTAGACGTTTCATAAACTGGAATAATTAGTAGTAAAAAATCTTATATTTTACTAGAAAAACTATTTTTAGAAAAAAATAACAACGACAAATAGTGTGAACTAAAAGTAGGAACTTAATAAAAAAAAGTGTAAAAATACAATTTTAAGGCGGTGTGTCAATTGTCATACCTTCTTCATGAGGGAGAGTGTGAGCTGGCGGAGGTTGGGAGCCTGCGCGTTGATATTGTACCTGAGGTACCACAGCACAAGCTGCAACTCCTCGCCAGCGAACACCTCCGTACTCTTCGGAGATTCCACTACTAGTGATAGAGTCAGGATACGAGTCTGGAACAGAACATTTAGTCAAATACACATTTTAAACAAAAAAATATATCTGACTTTTTTTAAACAAGCGGCCACATTAAATCGCTGAAATATCGAGGCTACCACTGTCGATAGACAACCGCAATTGCAAATGCGTTACCTACCTTAAATAGACAGAGGAGAGGATTCACAGAAAAAAAGAATATATTCCCTTGCTATGCATCCGCTCCTCCGTCAAACCCACTTTCCCATCTCATCTTTCCCATATAAAATTAAAAAAGTTGATCGGTTCTAAGAAATAATAGTAATTAGAAAAGAATTTTTTCTGGACTGTCAAAGAAATGTTAAGGTTGTCAACTGTCATGACACATATATAGACTATTGCTATCTCTATTTTGCTCAACTAGAAAGAAAGCGATGGTAATACTGAATGTTAATGTCAATTAAAATTGAATCGTAACCTCATCGACAGCATTAACTGCGGCCATTTTGAGTACGTCGTAGCTAATGAGACCTTTCCACTCCCCCTCGTTTTCCTTCACTTTGCCGACTGCATTGGACTTTCGAACCACGCTCAATAGCATTAAGACACATTTTAGATTTTCACGACCATTCTCATTTGAAGTAGGTAGTTCTTTTATATACGGTAATCTGAAAAGAAATAATGATAATATGTAGAGTAAAATTTAAAAAAAAAACATAAAATATGTTAAAAGTAAATAATTAAATTTGCAGTTTTTGATTCCAGTTTGTTTTAACTTACAGAAAATCTAAGATGTTGGCATCTAACTTGACAGCCTGGAGGAGCAGGTTCTCCAGGATGTGGAGTACGGAGGAGTGGAGGTGGGTGTGAGTGACGTGTGTCAGTATGGGCTGCACCCAGGTGTGGTACATCTCAGCGCTGCTGCACTCGCGGGAATGTCTCTGCAGGAGACTCTCTAATGCTGTTGTCGCCTAATTGTTCAAAATTAACATGAGTAAATTGAAATTAAATATTCCTAGACTAGCACTAGCTGTCGCCCGCGACTTCGTTACCTGCTTGTTTTCTACTCCTGGTTTATATTTTAGCCAAATTCGTTATCCATACGTACGTACCATACATTCATTAGGAAGAAGTAAGGTTAGCAAAGTATATGTCTTTTCAAATGTCTGGTCAGCTCAAGTCTCCTCTTCCCTCATCCCTTAACGCCCCGTTTTATGCAACACTTGCTGTCGGACGCAACTCCGTCCGAGCAGAATTAAAAAAAACCTAATTAAAAACCTATGTGTTCTTCCTGGCTATCTATGGCAATTTCCATAGAGATCTATGCAGCCGTTCTGGGGATACCTTATACTCCTCCTCCATTTTCCTAACCTTCTTCTTTGTTCTCGCGTCTAGTGCGAGGTTCCGAGCGGCCAAGCTACCTGTGACATGAATACTAACACAGGCCTGCACAGCCTGCAGGTCCAGGGCGGCGATGAGGTCGTGCAGAGGTCCGGGCAGTCTGCGCAGCACGCGCCCCGCGCCCAGCTCGCCGCACAGACACGTCACACACACGTAGTAACTCTTGCGACTCTTGTCCAGTGACGACAAAGCCTTGAACAGCTTCTCTAACGCTTTCTCTTCACCTTCTAATCAGATTATATTTCAGTTCATATAGTTAGCATAACTTTTAATTGTAACAAATAATTTCATACTATTAAGATAAAAACTTTTTTCACTTTATAAAAGGTCAAAGTTGTCAGTTTTCACATATCTTAACCCTTGGACCGCCGTGTACACTTTGTTTATCAAAACATGTTCGGCCACTGTTTCAAACTTCAAAATTTTCTTCAGATGTTTTAATTTATTTCTTTCTGAGCAACTATTAGTTGTAGCCTAAAAATAATTAACTACTAAGGTCTAATTAAAGTTCCTTCCTTACCCTTATCTTTAAGATGAGTACAGTACTTGACTATGTGTCCAAGGATCTGCGCGCTAAGGTGACGCACGCTGTCCATGTAGTGTTCCAAATGTGTCCACACAAACACCAGCAGACTGTCTACTAACTGGAGACCGAACTGAGGCTGACAGCTCGGTAGTGTTCGACTGATCTGAACTATTGTCCTTGTCACAGCAAGTGTGAATGTTGAGTCAGAACTTGTTCTGAAATATTTTTTTATTCCTAATATACAAAAAAGCTGGTGAAAACATCACAGCCTGCCATAATAAATTGTAGTGTATTGTGTTTATTGATTTTAAAAAAATATTTTAGTATGCAAGGACAGACAAAGGTTAATATCTAGTATAACTTTAATCCTTTGGAGCTGTTAAAAAAAGGAATGCTAAACGAAGATAAAAACAAAAACAACATGGATAGATTAAGAAATAATTGTTATAAAAGTCACCACTAAAATACCATCATTGTGTAAAGTCACCCACAGCTGGATGTAGAACAGTAAAATATGGTTAGCTACAATTCCTTAAATCAACCTAATTTTTATTTCATGTAACTGTATGTACTAACTTCTCTCCAATAGCCAAGATGTTATTAGTTAAAAGCAGCAGCGCATGCTGATCTCCAACGGTAGTGGTACAGAGATCCTCCGCAGATACCACGGTGGCCAGTGCTGAGTGCAAGCTTAGCCGTGCACTGTTGTTACACAATAGCTCTGAGAACTCCTTGTTGCCACTTGGAGTGAGGATCTGATGGACATTCATAATGGATAAATAATATATGTTTAGTTCAACATGAAAGTAGTATAGTAAAGTGCATTATACAAGAGCTATATTTATGATTTTATGGAATCTGCACTATTTTTTAACTTATATTAAAATAAATTGTATGAATAACGAGGTATATTAAAAGTAAATGTAAAAGTTACCTCACACCATGACTTGGGTCCATTTTCCAAAACATACATAGTCAAAAATAGAATCCCACACACTGACTTTGTGTCCATTGGGACATCATCATCAAATAATAACTCTGTTATATTTAATTTGATTGCATTAAAATGTTTTGTCAACTCGGCATAGTTTTTGTTGCCAATTTTCTGTATAATGTGAAGCAGCAATCGTAGTGTTAAGTGAGCCAAGTCAAAAATTTCATTTTTCTCTGTCGGAGATAAAGTCTTCTGAGTACTGAAAATGATTTCGTTTGATTCTTATTATATTATCCGTGAAATTACTAAGGGTTGTTTTGTATTAACTTAAGCATGATTAAATGGTATTTATTTTACTATTTGATGTTATCAGAAGTAATTTTGTATTGTATTTGTTAACACCTTACCTAAGTGTGTGTACACAACAGGATAAGCACTGTAACAAATATTCTGCAAGTCTAGTTTCCACCAGTTTTATAGCATGAGCACCAGCAGGAAAGTTTTCAATGCAGCTTGCTAATTTTGGTACAGAATCTTTGTACACTTTATACTGAATATTATCAACCGAGAAGTGGTTTGATATCTCCTCGGCTAAAGCTTTCGAAAATGGTTCTTGGAGATGGTCATTCTTCGTTATATATCTGTAGACAGCATTTTAAGTGTTGACATTTTTTTATAAATTCATTTACTTTAATAGTTCATGTTTATTTTGCTTACCTTACAACAAAACATTTAACCGGATGTTTAATTTCAGTGTGAAGGAAAATTAAAACAAGAAAATGGAATGTTTTCTTATCGTACTGATTATTTAAATTGTCTCTCAAAATAAGCAGCTGCTCGTCTACACTGTTGCTGTGGTTGAATTTTTCAAATATTATGTGGCCATCTATTATAATAAAAAAAAATAATAATTTATAAAATATTGACTTAGAGATACTTTGGTCTCATTGGGTTTCATAGGGTGAATGAATTTGAAGTTTAAAACTATCATATTTAAATCTGGCATTGCAGCTTTATTTAAAATAAAAAAAAACTACAAATTTTTATTTATGCCATGCCATATGTTAATATAAAATATATAAATGTAATTTTTTTATTTATTGTGACTCAAAAATAAAATATAAACAGCCAACAATTTTCTTAAATGTGATTTAATTTAATAAAACACAATAAGTATTTAATACATAATTTTAAGTTGTTAAAAAATAATCATAACCTAGTTGATTTATTAAATGTGGTGGTAAAACCACAGGATTAAAAGCTAAAGATCCCTTCATTTTTTTGGAGGTTGTTCCACTTATCCTTAATGTTAATCCATTCATCTTGAACAATATATTTTAAGTCAACGTTAATAACTCAATAAAGTTATGTTAAAACTTTGTTTTGTACACTTGTTAACATTTTAAAAATAATATTGACAATGACTTTTGATAAGTCACATGTTGTTGACATAATATGTTGTTGTTTTTATTATTCGCTCAAAAGAGCAGGCAAAGGAACTAAGCCATACAGCATATACTCTTTGCCATACAGCCTAGATGTTCACATAATAACATTGACAGCGCGAAACCAAAGGGTATATAAAACCAATAACAGGTGCGAAACCAATAACAGTTTTCTGTTTCTGTCAAGTTGTCATGTTGCATTAGTCTTCTAACCTTTCTGCCAAGGTTACTAGTTTTACAAAAATCCAAAATCAATACAAAATTGGTTAAATAGTGGATTTTAATAAAGTGTTGGATAGGTTAGTCGTTGTTGTTTAATAAGTATCACTAGTTTAAAAATATTTTATTCGAATTTAAAAAGTAAGAAGTTCGCAATACGGCCTATGGTTTTTAAATTATGCGATGGCATGCAACAGCTAGGTTTTATTAGTTCTAGTTTCCCAGTATATCGTCAATCGATTGATTTTTCATCGCAATTTCATTTTTTATTGATGCGACATTGTCGTCTTCTGCGGAGCAGAGCGCTCCCAACTTGATCACTGCCGATTGCCGATACCTAAATTATCTCGGCGATGGACAGTGATAGATCAAAATAACGTCGATTATTAGCCAAGGAAAATAATACTACATTGTATGAATTTTTTCTTTATTTTTTTACATTTTAAAGTCTTAAATAATAAGGTCAATAATAAATTACTATTTTTTTTACTATCACACTATGGACCTATTCAGTCTTATCGGGCAGTAGAGCGGTTTCTTTTTCCTCCTTGTCACTGGCAAGTTCTTGTTTCTTCTCCATCTGACATTTGTGCGGGACTTCCTCGATTTTTTCGTCGAGGGCTATCTTCTTAGCGGCTATCCCGTCGCTGTCGTTATTATCCCCTGAAAAAGCACAAAATTTTGATTGAAAGAAATCAAATATTGATAGACAGCTGGATGTAGTCACTGAATTAAAATTTATAACAAATGACATAAGAAATTAAGAACATCGCGGCTTCTTTTCTAAACGGAAGTTGCATATTTTTGCACTATGTTTTTGCATTTAAAGTTAACAATTTAATACAATGAAGCTCGTTTGAGTTAGTTAACAAAGAATGTTAAAATTAAGGTGGGATTAAGGGTTAGCACGAAGCGGGACAGATATTTGTTAAAGAAAACAAATCAACAAACTTGTAACGGAATTCTGCGCAGTCTGTTCATCCGTTACAATGTCAACGGGCCACATACATCATGTATGTATATTTACAGACACAGAGTGTACATAATTTATTAGTTGTTGAATATTTTATGTTGACAAGTCCATCATTATTTAATTTTAAATGTTTAATTTTGCTTTAATCGGAGATCATATATGACCTATCTTTTAGATCGTATGTCTAATTTAATGAATACGTTGACCTTTTTAACCATATGAATTATTTATTTATTAATTTATTAAATTAAAACAAATTAATTATTTCTTTGTATTTATCCATCACCACAAATTATATAAAACAGTAAAAAAAGTTAGCACGGCATGGTAGTGACAGTTCATCAATATTGTCAATCACAGACATTGAGATTGGGTGGTGTCGCGAGAGTACCTGTAGATTTGTGCCTACAGTGTTTATGGCGCTATTGACCGCCGTGGACACTGTCGCCGTTGTGCCATTGATGAGCGCCCCTATAGTACCTATAAGTGTTGTGGCGAAAGTTGTCCACGCCGCGACTACGCAAGCCAAGATACATGCATAAAGTTTACTGTTATTTTTGCTGGAAGATAAATATAATTAGTAAAAGTAAAAGAATAATTTGAAAAAACATGCTTTTTTAAATTGAAAGAGGATTTTAAATTGTCTTTTCTTTGTTATAAAATAAAAACAATCAAATAAAATATAATAAGTAATTGTCATCTTGTACAATTGTGATTAAAATGATAAAATAACCGATCATATGAATGACATACCAGTCGTCTTTAATGATTTAGTCATGGGAGAATATTATATTTGATAGAAAATAAATTATAATAAACAATAATTTCCTTTGTTAGACTAATACGATACTTTATGAAATAAAAGCAAATGAAATAAGATATATATGTGTTATAAATAAAATAATAAAAAGTTTATTATTAAAACTTATTGAAGACAAAGTTGAAGAGTTGAGAGACCCATGCACAATATGTGTTGTTGTTTAGTTTATTTGGTTAACTTACCAGAGTTAACAGAGTTAATGCCGCCGCCGTGGCCTTTCGTAGCGGGAACTGCCTCCTCCTTAATAATCTCCGGAACTACCTCCTCTTTAATGACCTCTGAGGCTGCCTCCTCCTTGATGGCTTCCGGGACTGTCTCTTCCTTGATAGCGTCCTCAATATTCTCAGGCTCTAAAGCTTTCTCAGGCTTCGCAGGCTCAGATTCTATCTCGGGCTTGTCTCTAGGTTTCTCCGGGTTGGAGAAGCTCTGTATTCTCTGTACGACTCCCTTCACAATAGGATTGTTCTGTATAATTTGTCTTATAGGGCCAGGTTGGGATGTCGCCTGGCTTTCTTTAGCGGGTTCCGGGGCTTGTGGCTGGACAGGCTCGGGTTGTGGCTGGGCCGCGGCTGCAGGTTGCACCTGCGCCGGTGGAGGTGAGATGGGTTTGGATGGCACGGGCGCATTGTTCTGCTGCACTGGATCGTTCTCAGGCTTTGTATTGGTGTCGGTAGGCGTTGCAGACGAAGGTCTCACCTGGTTTATTATGTTTTGAATGAATTGATTAGCTTGATTGAACGGGTTCGATTCACTTCCAAAAAATTGACTCAGCTGCTGTTGGAAGTTGTCCCAGGCGGAGGGCGGGCGAGTGGTAGCCTCGTCAGCCTGCGTGCCGGCCGGGGCGGCTGTTGAGCTTTGCTGGTTAAATAATCCCGGAAGTGGGTTCCACGATGGCTGACTGCCGGTGTCGCTCCCGCCGTTTTGGTTTGAGGGATTGGTGAGAGAATTGAATGTATTCTGCATTTGAGTAATCGCTTGTCCCATTGTGTTTGAGAAAAATTGGAATACCTGACCGAGGGGGTTATTAGATGATTGCTCGGCGGGAGGGTTGGGGCTTGTTGCGCCAGTTCCGGTGGGGTTCGCGGCGGCGCTGGCGTCGCCATCGGCCTTCGCTTCCAAAACTTTAACACCTTCGGAGAGAGTTTGCACGCCAACCTCAAAGTTATTTTTTAAGACTATTAGGCGACTTTCGACTTCCTTCAGATTGGCGGCGGCCTCGGGGTCCACGATGACCGCCTTGGCGCTCTGTGGGTTGAGGTAGCTTTGAACCGATTGCTGCAGCTTATCGAGCTGAGCTATGAATTTACTTTGCATATCTTTGATGTCACTTTGGACCGTCTTAAGATGTGCGCTGTTCGATACCCAGTTCTGAAAACCTTCGTTGACATTCGAAACGCTCTTCTTGAAAACATTTTCAGTGTCTAAGAGCTTTTGTTTAATGTCGGCGACGAACCAGTTTCTTTCAATGTACGATTCGGGATTTTGCGTCTCGTGTTGCTGCCGTTGCGGTGGTCCGGGGTTGCTTAGATCAATCTCCAAGCGCTTAATGATCGGACTGGGTTTGTCGTCACTGGGGATGTAATCGTTAGAGTTTTCGTCTATCTTAGCGGGTACAACTGTGTCTTCTACGATCGCGACGGGGATGACATCGGGTACGTTGCGTAATTTCTCAGCATCGGCGTCTTCGAGTGGTGCCACCTGCGCAGGTTGGGCACCGTGCGCGGGCGCCGAGTCGAGCGGGAGGGCGCCAGCGCGGCTCGCGGCCAGGACCAATATCAGTGCGTATAATCTCATTGCGGGCGGCGGACTAACCGGGCCGGCGGAGGCTCCACATTTATAAGAGGGGCCTAACGGTGCCGCCGGCCCTCCGAGCGCGCGTCTCGCTAAATGTTTCTGTCACTATTTGTATTTTACACTATCGGAAGCTCGCGGCTTCACTCTCTCGTATAGACTTATGCACTGAACTAAATACGAAGAAAAGTTTTCTCTTTATTGCGCAAACACCTCCTTTGTAATTATTTTCTTTGACATTGACTTTAAGGTTAGGAAATGTATCTGTTATTTATTATGTATTGTTATTACAATTAACAAAAATACTTTATAGTAAAAATTAAGCATTTTAAACAAACATAAACAAAGAGAGTACTCTTTGTTTATGCTTATTATATATAAGTAATAGTTACCTTTGTATTTCAAAATGACAGAACTAAAACTATTTGTAGCACATTAATCATTGTTGTTTTCAGAAATGAAAAACATAAACTTACAAAAGGTTTGGTCGTAAATACAATACCAAAATACAAAGATGAAAACATACACACAATTTTAAAACATGTAACCTACAGTTTTAAAAAGTTCCGAAGTATTAGTTATCGAGGGGTTGTAAATATAAAATAACGAAGAGAAAGGCATTTAGTCCGCAGTCCTTGCTGAGTTCAGATATTCCGCGAAGTCGTAAATCTATTTGCATAGTTTGACATGTTAATAATAGTTGTTCTAACAAATGTTTAAGTGTCAACGGTTTTTAACTCTTGTTTCATATTTAACTTAAAATATCTCTATTAAGTCGGCAATTATGTTTGGCTATTCTAATTTATGTCTTTATGTCTTTTAGATTTTTATGATTCTCCTTTATTTGTCCACCACTTTTCTTCATAAATGTCTACTGTTTGTATATACAAAATTGTAGTGATCATCAAAGTAGAGTGGGATGCAAAAGTTAATCGTTTTCGTTGTTTTATTGACGCTGTTGTATCGCTGTTATGCATAATTTGATTATTAGATAGTTGCGGGTCACTTAAAATCACTTAAGGCGAAACGAGAAATCGTTCCTTTTTTTAAATTAAAAGAAATAAAAACATATCTTGTTCCCTTGGTAACAACAATGTAAAAATAAAAAGGAAAATAATAAAATAAGAGCTTTTGATACATTTGAAGGCGGTCTTTGAACTTACCGGTTTGGGATTCGATCCCGCGGAGAACACGGAATGTTTTATCTGAAGTTTGGTAACCTGTTCGCATCTCGTTATCTGTTATGAGGCAAGACTTCTGTCTTACACACTCTTAATGATTTTTACTTTACATTTGGAAAATGTCAATGTCTCTTTACAGGAAAATCATAAAAAGATTTGAATAAAACCTCATTTTGTGCTTAAAATTGCCATTTTATAAAATTCTAGCTGTCGCCCGCGACTTCCTTCGCGTGGAATTTCAAAAAAACTTAATTAATGGCCTATGAGTTCTTCCAGACTATTTTCTACATCTGTCCCAAATTTCAGCGAGATCTGTGGAGCCATTCTGAATATATCTTCAAACATCCATCCATTCATCTAAACATTCGCTTTTATAATATTACAGTAAGATCTTAGTACTTATTGCGCTTAAGAAAATAAAATCTAGTACTTAATTATTTTATCAAGTTGTAAAGTGAAACATACTGAATAACTTGAATAGAATTATTGTTAAATTTAAGAGATCTCTGTGGTGTTGTTTGGTTAAGACGATGTTTAATGTCTTCTTTTTGTAAAAAACCATTCAGTCAAAGCGCTACAGAATAGAAATACACAATGAAGAAAAGTATACCTATCTGCAACTATGAAGGTGCTTGAAACTATGTTTTACTAGATAAAGCTCTATTTTCCATGTTTTTAACGTAGTAAATACTCGTACATACATACGTACATAATGAAAGCAAACGGGTTAGCTCAACTAGCAACTGATGTTGACTCTAGGAATATTCCTATTCCTTTCTACTCCAAATCTACTTTGTACGTAGAAAGAAATCGGACTTGTATATAATTTATTACAATTTAAAACGGAATAAAAATAAAAATAAAATACCAAAGTTTCCGATTTTAAATGTACAAAGTAAATAAAAAACCACTGATTAAAGTTATTCTTTCTCTTTTGATTTCTTTAATCAGGAATCATACGAGATGGTATAAAAATGGTATGGTCAGTTGTCGGGTCAATCACCGTGTCCCCGCGCGCCCCCTGCCGGCCCCTCGGGTCGTAACGTCGACAAAAACACGAAATTAACATCCTCGTGTGTTGGGAGAGACACAGTTATAATGGTCAGATCAAATCGCCACTCGTTAGCCTGTACCTTCGGAGATAAACTGAACAATGTTAAGAGCCAGTTTGTTAACTTATCTCTTGAATAAGTTATTAAATTTTATGATATAAAACTTCAAAATAAACTTTTATGTGTACAGAATATGCGGTGATTTCAAATATCAATTATCTGCTAAAATGAAGCTTTTTCGATTTAGTTTCAGGTTTAAATGTATTTTCAATCCACTAAGCGATTTTATATTGTTCATATCAACAATATGAACAATATAGTGAAGAAATAACTATGTACTTAGTGCAAAGCTATATTTATATTCGCAAAATACTGTACATTGTTCTAGGAGATGTTTGTGTTGTGGGTCAGTGAGTTAGTACAAACTGCGCGTGCGCTGCATACCAACCCAGTTCGCATTGAGATGGTACGGCCGCGTCTCTGTGATTATTTTTCAACCATATTTAATTGTTTTTAGCTATAACTACAAAATAATAGCAATAGTTACCACATACTCATATGGAATTTATAATTAGAATTCTTGTTCAAAGATTGTTCGGGTAATAAAGAAAAATTTAAAAATAAAAAAATGTTGTAAGAAAATATAATGTAAATTTGAGATATTTTAAGGTACTTTATAGCTTTTGATCGTTGTATTTTATACATTTTATATTTGGGTTAATTTCAATAATAATTGTACTGAATTAAAAAGTAGTGTGACCATACGATTTGACTGAGAATTCCACTAAAAGACTACTATATTAGGTATAGAGTAACGCATCAGAGTGGTTAAATCCACTAAGATAATTAACTTAGCTATTTAAGCCGCCTACATATCTTTACTTTTAGCTACACAATTTTGTTACTGTTCATTGAATTGTACAGTTCTTAGTATTTCCTACAGTTGTGTAGACATAAATTATCTTGATTTTCATGCTAAATTTATTGTCACTTTAGGGTTTTGGCTGCATCGCTCTCGAAAGAACCCTATTACATTTTTGTACAGGTTAACGACCTGAAAAAAAATCAATTCAACAAAGACCAGAATTCTTAAAAAAAAAATGTTAAATAATATCAGTTTATTGGAGCTCCATCATAAATATATAAGAATTTTGTTTATAGATTTCATATATTCATGTATACATTAGTCCTATACAAACATTTTATGTATAAACTTAATTGATTGATATCTCTGATAGAGTCCTTAACAAGTCGTTTGATTTACGCTGAAAGTATTATATAAGTTTAATTTAATTATGCTTTGTTGTTAACTTGTTAGGATCATATTTACTGCCAATTATTAATTTTACATAAAAGGAACTAAACTATCAATTAAACGACACTTAGTGTAGCAGTTCTATTAACATAAACATCGATCTAAACACTAATTGTTGGTGGGCTGCGTATGGCAACTTTTACTATAAGTTGGACGTCAACAGGAAAACATAAGTTAGAAGTAACTTATTTCCTCTCACAAAGGTCGGGTTCATCGACCGTGTTTACATAAAGCCGCTATATTTATTATTGGTTTATAAAAACTGGTTAAACGAATTCATTTAAATATGTATATTTAATTAAAAAATAACGGTAACTTGTTCTCCAAATATTTTGTAATATGTTTATTTGATCATGGAGTTAATTTCTACTTAACATTGGAACCGGATTTATTAATTTTTGCTTCTTAACAAACGTAATTAAAACAGGGTTGAAATTTCATCAAAATTCGGAGTTGGCTAAATTATTTATTTATTTATTTATTTATTTATTTATTTATTGGAAGACCAACAGCCATTTTTACAAATTAAGTACAACAATAGTTAGTAAACATATAGCCAATTATAGGTCCTCGCCGATAGTGGCATTTTACACAAATGTTTTAGCGCGAACAGATATTATACATTAACAAGAGTCAAAAAGCACAAAAAGAATTACAAGATTACAAAAAGAAAAGCTTATTAGTTTAATTATGTTTGTTCTTTAGTTTATTACTTTGTTCTTGACGAAAAATTTCCGATAAAAAGCCTGCTTAATAGAATTACTTGTAGAATTAAATATATCTAAGGTGGAACTTTTAGAGTGATTGTTAACAAAGAAGCCAGCTCGTAACATAAATGAATTTTGTCGATAATTAGAAAATGCCATAGGAAGATGAATAGGAGTGTGATGGCGTGCTGATTTCTTTGGTACATTAAACGATATTTTAGAGAGAAGAGAGGGACAGTCAATACTACCGTTTATAATATTTAACATAAATATTATGTCTGCCACTTCGCGTCGAACAACAAGAGGGAGAATATGAAATTTACCGCATAAATTTAGGTAATCTTGAGAGCGAAAATTATAATTTAGCCGGAAGCATAAATACTTAATAAATTTTTTCTGTATGTTTTCAATCCTAGAGATGTATATGTTATATCGCGGGTTCCACACTTGACTGGCGTACTCGAGTATACTGCGCACGTAACTACAGTACAATATTTTGTAGGTTTTCGCTTCCTTGAAGCTATGTGACGCACGCATTACGAATCCTAGTGCCTTATATGCTTTAGATATAATGGTATCGATATGATTATCAAACAATAATTTGTGGTCGTGGATAACACCCAAATCTCTGACCTGGAGACATCTTTCCAGCCTCGTCTGTTTAATTGTATAATCGAATGCGATCGGGTTAGTTTTCCTGCCGTATGTTACAACCAAACACTTCGAGGGGTTTAAGTCTAATTTATTTTGAATGCAGTAGTTGCTGAGACGATTTAAGTCTGACTGCAGCGCGACAGCGTCATCAGAATTAGAAATATTAGTAAATATCTTCATATCGTCTGCAAAGCATAGTACCTGTGAATGATGGAAACATTTATCTATGTCGTTTACAACGATAAGGAACAACAGAGGCCCGAGCAAGGAGCCCTGCGCTATTCCGCTAGGCAATGGTATCCAACTAGATATATAGTTATTTATGACAACGGCCTGCGATCGATTGGATATGTACGAGGAAAACCATCTAAGGAGGTCTCCCCGTATGCCCATCAGTTGTAGCTTGTACAGCAACACCCCATGGTCAATTCGATCGAAGCACTTGCTATAATCTGTGTAAACGACATCGACTTGCTTCCCATTGTCCATCGCGTCAGTTATGAAGTCGTTAAGCATAACGAGATTGGAGGTGGTCGACCGACCTCGAAGAAACCCATGCTGGACGTGACTAAATGAGTGTTTTATGGCCGCGTATAGCTGATTGTATAT